GAATGATGCAAGATTTATTTTCTATTTCCCTTCAGTTTATTGGTTACGTCAGCTGCTCAAGCTTTTGAGACAGACCAAATCGGATCAACATGAAAAGCAACATTTTTCTTTGGATCAGTTTTTTCTTCTGAACTTCACTGAACTTTGATGATATAATCAACCTCCTTTTCAGCATGAATACGTTTAATTTTGTATTGCTCAGATGAAGATTTCAGTAACAGAGTTGCATTAATTTTCCTCCTTACAGTAAAAAGGGAGACCACTACGACCTCCTGTCAAATCAAGGCAATCAAATGTCCTGGTGAAATCCCAGCAGCCATGACAATGACATGAAGCAGAAGCATATGTAAGACAGAAAATAGAAGGTTGACCTGGATGAGTCACAATCACTAAATGGGTAAAGAATAGATTCTTACCTGAAGCAATAATATCAATATTCCTCATTCCTTAGTTTTAATTTTAATTCTCGCAATTTTGACTGTCTTTTGCACCATTAAATAGTTACAGGTCATAAAGAATTTAAATATTCAGTTAAACTGAACTTGGATAATGTTAAAAGGAAATAAAACAAGTGAAGGAACCTTCTTCCAAGGAGTTTGATGTTTTAGAAAGATTTATCTGTCTACTCACACCTGTTCCTTCCAAATTGGTGAAAGTTTTGCAGGTAATAAGAAAAGAGTGAAGTTAAAGGACTGGATTGCTATTTTCATTTTCTGAAAAATCAGGGACATGTAACTCAACATAAAAAGAAAATGCATAAATGAACCACAGAAGATTTTTCAAGTGCTATTGTCATTTTCTACAAAAGCCACAAAATATGAGCAATAACCAAGGTTTGGTTCTCTGGGTTGAGCTGGCAGGATGATTTATTGGATGCAATAATCCAGAATGAATCAGGACTTCCAGTAACTTGGCAAGAAGTGAAAACCCACCCCCTGTGGTTTTCCTGTGATTCTCTGATGCTCAGTAGATTACTTGAAACAAATGATGAATTAGATGGAAAAGGTTCAGTTCAAGTGAATGTCTTTGTTGGTATTCCTTAGGAATTGTAAGCATTGGTATAGTGCTGTGAGAAAGCATTTGTTTTTCTTTTTGATTTGTCACACTTAAATGTTCCAGATCAACCACTTGTTAGTAGCAGGCAAAAATAAACTAAAACATAACATTTGTTACAAAATGGGGTAAAGGATCCTGAATGTTTTTTAAGGAGCTGTTTTCAATAACATTTTTCTGTAGTAAATCAACTGTTAGATCATCAGGATTCAGACAAATATCAAATTTTCCAAATATATGATTTGTACAGAAATTATTGGTTGGTGTTTTTTTTTAATTATCTGACAAGAGAAATTCAACTGGTAAGGTAATCTTAAGGTAACACTGAGTAATAACTTAACTGTTTAGAGGTTTTCCAACTCTGAGTTTAGAAAAATAGCACATCACTGAATGACATGATAAAAAAAACAACACTCATTTTGTACCATAATTGTAACTAATTTACATTCACACCACTGCAAGAGCTCTTACTCTCAAAAGATAAAACTTTTGATCCTTTTAAAAAAATGCAATGATATAATCCTTTTAAACTTTGTATAAAAGTCTGAAGTTACAATCCCACAGGGAAAAAAAGAAGCTTGTGTAATTATATGTTAGCTGAGAGAAGAAGGACATCCATTTGTTAATGTGGATTCAGTGCCAACCGACAGATGCTGGATTCAAATATGCAATTTGCTCAGCAGACTGCGAGTCGCTGCTGCAGGTTTGAGAGGAGACAGGTTACTTATTTTGTTAAATATTCCTCATTAACCCAACAACCCAAAGTAATTCAAACCTGCTATTTAGGTGACATGAAACCAAGTGGAGACACTTAGCATGGAGACATTTAATAATCCAGCTTCTGTGTGCAGGTTTGAACAGGTGAACTCATTACCTTTCTGCTTTTACAGGCAAGTTAATGCTCCGAATCCATCCTGTTGAAACGTTAGAAACTTTTAGGTTTTACTGTGTATTTGTTGATGATACACAACAACAAATAAGCAAAGGTTGTGCTTTGTCGCTTTGAATGAAATTGTTAGACAGCTGTGTTGACTCAGAGGAGTCAACACTGACTGAAGCATATTTGTTTAACGTGGTACGTGATTATATTTTAAATGATTGTCTTCCTGCTAAAAGCGCTCAGCAGTTGGAGCCGAACTCCTGTATGCCAAATTCAAACTCCTAAGGATATTTCACAAACTATCGTTATTTTTGTGAAGACTGACATCACAGAATTACACTTCCTACGCAAGTAAAACATCTGGTCTTTTTCTGGGCGAAGGCGCTGCATCTCCATTGATTGTAGGATATTAAAGTCTTCTCACAAAGTGCCCTGCATCTAATTCAGATTTTAAAACTGAATTACGAAGCCAAATTCTTTTTAATAGCCTCTTTAACTTGAAGAATTGAGAATAGGTCCTTGAAGAGCTTGCTGTAATGACTTGAGAGACCTTTTGTCTGGAAAATTAAAAACAAATGTCTTTCAGCCCACATTACACCGATAGGTTAAATGCCTCTACACCACTCCTTCTATCCTTCAAAACTACAGCCTGAGAGCAAAACACGGTAAACTAAAGGAGATATTCTAGAAAGGCAGCTTCCTTTTTAGAATATGAATTTATGCTGGGCAGCAATCCTAAAAAAAAAAAAAAAGTGATGATATACAATATATAATATTGTGAATTTGCTTTTATGTAACCAGTAGAAGATTTGTAGATGTCACCTAACGATCCACGTTTATATCAAATTTGATCTTAAAATAAATGCAACTTTTCAGTGAAGATTTTAATACCACTTCAGGCAGACACTGCAAACTATAAACCTAGCAAATGAGACAGACATCTAGTCAGTCTTAAAAAGATTGGTTTGTTATGTACAGCTAACAAACCACACTTGCTTTTTGAATTCTTGTCTTTAGGTTTTGTTTAAAGTTGTGTAATTGTTCCAAATAAGAAAAAAAAAAGTTAAATGAAATTAATCTTAACAAGCCCCTAAATTATAACATTTATGCGCTTAATGAATGGATTTAAATTTCTCTGCAGTAAGAATTCACATAGAGGAGTTCATCAGGGTCATCATAGGAAATATTTTTCTATCCCAAACATTTTTGCAAAAGTTTGAAGGCAGAAATTCCTGTTTTGCTTCAAGCTGTCAAAACGTATGTATATACAGAGTTGGACAGTGTGCAATTTGTAGTTTCCAACTATGACATAGAATGATATCTTGGAGGTTTAATTTCAAATTTCAAGCCAAAGTAAACAGTGCAAAAGAGAACAGTCAGCACAACAAAGAAAAACATCGACCTCATTCCTGATTCCAAAGGGAAAACATATTCATGTCCAACTGAAGGGGGAAAAGCAACAGTGTCCTTCCTTTATCAAGGAAATTATAAACCTGGAAACCAGGTTTATTAGTGGGATGAAAGCAGCTGTTTCTAAGGTGGGCAGGTTGAAAAAACTGTAAAAAACTAATTGATCAGTTGTCACTGAGTTCCTATAAATCAAGATTAAAAACCCATCGGTTTAGTCACTTTTGAATCATAATAAATGGAACATTGACCAACATATTTGATGTGAATTGACAATTTTAGCAGTGGCACTTGACTGAATGTCTGTTACTGGTTTTCATAAACAATCAGGTGTTTATGATGTTTTCATGATATAAAACAGTGAACTTTTTTTTGCTGAAATGTGTGATACTAATTAACTTGATTGATTCTCTCAAAGGCTTGATGGCGGTTGTTACTTTAAGGTGTAGCTTAACCAGTTCCCAGGTTATGGGCACATGCTTTTTCCTGACAGTTCCATATAGATTTGGATTTTACCCCTTCATAATAAATAACTTAATTTAAACAATGGATTTTGTATGAACTTGTGTCATCTTTGTCTGGTGTTTAGATTTGTTTGAGGATCTTACATTCTTAAGTGTGACAAGAAAAAAGAAAAAAAAAGGGGGCATCCACTTATTTCTCACCTCTGTTTACAGCTTGAGCTTAAAGAAAGATCTTGCAGATGAGTGAAAGAACACTTCTCTGAGGATTAATGATCTCCCGAATCACACTGAATCCTCACCAAGACAAAGATTGGTCACCTTTCTTTGAAAGTTATGAAGGGGGTCAAGGTTCTCACGAAAAGCTGAAGCTTGAGTGAATATAATGTACAGTATGTTTAGATATTGTGGACCAGAGATTTATGAGACTTTCGTTGGACGAGCGATAAGATGTCCTCTTCACCAATACCACCCAGACGCAGACAGATAAGGTGACTTTGACACAGATGCACTATATGGATCTCTCCCAAACAGTGAGCCATGTTGGATTGATGAGATCTCCTCCTGCTTCACAGCTGGTCAAATCGAACCTTTATCAAAAGCAATTTAGTCTCGTCTTGTGCATTTGACTGAAGAGTTACAGTGCGGCTTAAAACCACAAAGACAAAATGTTCCATAGGGCAGGAAGAAACGACTCACTAGCAATAGGAATGAGGAGTGTGTTCCTTGTTCATATTAAGAGTCCACAGAAATTTTTGTGTTTGCTTTATCTGATTAGAATCACAGCAGTCTGATCGGCCATATGCCTGACTGCAGGCTAGCTCTGTTTTCAATCAGGGTCGGCTCCCAGAAGATTTCCTGCCAAATCTCCTGTGCACGCATTCATAAACACTCCCTCCGCTTAAGTGTTTACACTCTGCCTTGTCCCAACTTGGGGTTTCCACAAGCGTTGCGTTTATTAAATTAAACTAACCCTAGTTTCTTCCCGTTCAATAAAAACAATCAATTTCAAAAGGTGCAGATTTGCTGTAAACATTCAAATTGCAAATGGCATTGAAATAGAGTTCGGCACAGCTCCTCTGTGGAGTTTTAAAAACATGTGGGAGACCCAGAAGACGGAGGTCAAAGATTAGCAATCAGACTGACATTCAGCAATTCAATGCAAGAAAAAAAATGGAAACGTGCCTTTTGGAAAAATACTTAGTGTTCCTTCAGTTTTATTTGGGTTTAGGCTGCAATTTACAGTGGTATAAACTATGGATTAAATGGGAGAAGAAAAAGACAACTTCAGTGGAAAAAAACTTCACCAGAATTTTTTTTTCAGAGGAAAAACAGTTGGGAGCAGAAACATCTTAAAAGTCTAATCTTTAACCAGTGCGAAGTCGATTTGAAACAACAAACTAAACCCGCAGCACGTAAAACGTACTTCCACTTCAAGTTCTGTTTCCACAGTTCTCGTTTTGAATAAACAGTGAAATACAAGTATTACCTCAATACTGAATACATGATAACAAAATATGATAAAATGCGATAGAATTTATTTCAAAGTAATTACAAAGTAAATTATAACATTAAATCTTTGAAATGTGCTAATCCTTTCAAATGAATGAGAATTTCACTAACACTGCATCTTGGCCCGACCCTTCATGTTTTACGCTGTCGTTTTCCCGTATGGAGTGACATTTCTGTGTCTGTGCCTCTGGAGTTCGAAGGTCGCTTCTTTGCTGAAGACGTCTCTGTGTCTCTGTGAAAGAACACAATCCGAGAGGGTCAAGTTATTTTATTTGAAAAAGACAAAAGTGAAATGATATACAGTATCACAAAATTGTATGTGTTTTACTTGGGGCTCAAGGTAAATAACCAACAGAAAGTTGAAATGTGAAAGAAATGTGAAGAAAATAAAATGGCTGTGATTTAAGTTAACTAGATAAAAAAGGCAATAACAGACTTTCTAAATCTGTCACTTGCTTTTCTCGTGTTTTTATCACTTCAGAGAATCATTTTTTCTCTGCAGACGATTATTTTTATCATTACGATTTCAATAGTTTAGGTTAAACAAGCATATCAGCATAATTAGGATGCAAAGTGGATGGGGAAGTGGAAGACAAATAAAGGTTTTTCCTTAAGTTTCCCTTATGTTCATTTAGTTAATTAACGCTAAAAGCTCATTTACTTCGATCAAATATAGCAGAGATTTTGCAGACTATTTGACTGCCGGAGAAATAAAGGAATATGGAAAACCTGTTCAACAAATGACTCGGCTACAAAAGACATAAAAATTAAGTTTTCTTCAACAACAGACAACTCTGTTATGTTTCCTCATATTTTCACCTTTTTTGAACTGCTTCACATGCTTGACCTGGGCCTAACCCTGAACATATTTTTTTTGTTTTTTGGATTATGATGTTATATAACATATGTGGTAATTCTCTGTGGCTTTTAATGCACCACTGTTGCTTGTAATGCAATTATTTTTGTCTGAAGGTGTAAATGTTACTACATGTTACTTCATTAAGGGACAGTAACTAAATTTTTGCCATGAGCCACAGTTTTAATTATTAGTAGTTCAGAGATAAACTACTCTCAGTTCAGGCGACTGAAGTAAAAAATACTCTCTTGACTTAGGACAGTGCTTTTCAGCAAGACATGATGGCGGACATGATTGTGGTTCCTGAACCTATCAGTTCAAAATCATTGCTCTAGAGTGATTAAATAATTACCCAAAATAATCGTTAAGTGGATCCAATGATCCTTCCATTTGACCCATTTCAAGAATTCTGCATACAATGGTGAGTGAACCTTCATCCCTATAGAAGGAGCGTTTGCATGGTGTAGCAAGTAATCAAGAAATGCTATCATAGGCTCTTTGCAGCGGAATTACAGTAGATCTCAGTTAATTTTTGGATCATGCATAACATAACACCTCAGTCATTGCATTTCTTAATGAGCTTCAAATATTAAGTAGCAAGTGAACCTTATGTCCTTAATGTTTATCTGTAAGAAGTGAAAATGGGCAAACATAATGGGATGAGTGAATCTAACGAGGGACAATTTGTGATTGGTTACTAAAAGTCAGAGCATCTCCAAAGTGACAGCACTTTTGGGGTGTTCAAGGTCAGTGGTGGGTGAAATATTTGAAAAGTAGTCCAAGAAAGGGCTTGTGGTAAACTAGTGACAGACTGATCAATACACATGAAGCAGTGAAGACTGATCTACTGCAATTCACAAGATGAGCTGCTATTACTCAGATTTCTGAGCAACCGCAGAAATGGGTCCAATGAATTGGATACTTTGATTTGATTCAAAGTGCCTAATGTCAAGAAGTTAAAGTTGGTTTTCAAATAAAGGTGTCAGAATACAAAGAACACATCTTGTTCTTGTCAAACTGGACCCTTTGACTCCCCGAGCCCAAAAGGCAATGTTCATCCAACAATGAGTTATTACTTAACACATTATAGAGATGATAAAATAAAATTTCCATAATGGAATAACAATTTTGTCAGTAAATGTAAGGTTTTTCCATAGACAAACTAATCAAGCCATAAAACTGCTTATGATTACATAGAGAAGTGAAGTTTATGACATTAGGAATCTTAAAACAACCAAGCTTCATATTTTTTTTCTAAAATAAAATAAATTAGGGATTTCATTAGAATAAAACTATTTTTCAGTGGCATAATTTATACACTGTGAGGAAATCTTAAGAGTTATTTTCTTAACTTGCTTATACACTTTTAACTGTTCAATCAAATTCTATTCTCAGAAGACACATGAACTTGGCATACAATGCCTTTAAATAAAAGTTTTTCTGATTTCCTTACCAAGGCCATGCAATGAGTGCCCCCAGCGGGCGCCAAAGCCCAGTGGCTGTCAAGTTATAGATCCATTACTAGCTCAATCTTGACTTTCACCAATCTTTTCTTAAAAGAAATCTTCAGATAACATGGCTTAGAAAACCAAAAGGGACCCATAAAAGCAGTATTTCATTCGTTGAATCAGTTTCAGCTGCACATGAGGGGTGTGCAGCTGATATTATAAATGTATACAGAACCCTTCAACCTTATATAATGTATTTAAACCCTTTTCTTTCAGTTGTCTAGATGGGAAAAACAATTCCAGTTAAGGAATTTTCATCAGAACACCAGGTGTTAGTGGTAAAAGTTTGGTTAGGCATCCAAGTGGGGAGCATTACTGGTGGGTTAAAGGCAGAGAACAGAGCTAAAGCTGTATTTCATAAAAAGAAAATTCCTTCTCCGGATGGTTTCAAAAGCACTCTTTAAATCATGAGTCTATAAAACTGATGTAGCATTCTAAGACCCACAGTTCTGGTCAATTATGAATGCATACTGGTCATATATTTAATGGGAGCTCGTTGAAACAAACTTAAAATCTAAAAAACAGCTTTTCTATCTCAACATTGGTCGGAAAATGTAGAAAATAAAAGTCAGATTTCAAAACGTCTTTGTCCTCTTTGTGTTTTACCCACTTCATTTTAGATAAGTTTTAAATAGCAGCACAACCAACCCAGAGGAAGACGTGACAGAACCATGTGTGTGCACTGAAAACAACACCGCCTCGCTAATACGAGGATATGAATCAGTGTCCTTGATCGTGGTTCGCAAGCGAATGAGCTCCAGGTAGGTGCAGTTATTTATTTGTGTCCTTTGGGGGTGAGGAGATGTGTGACGGTCTTATTGCTTGTCAAAATCGTTTGATTGAAATGACAGCAGGCTAGCAGGAATATAAATGATAAAAAACACATATAAATGTATTGAAAAGAATAAACAGAGCTGTCAGTCAGAAGAAAGCTTGGTGATTATTTGACCTTGAAGATGTATGACTTTTTAACATGCATCATTAATATAACAAATTATTTAACGTGGATAAAGGAATGAAATAATGTTTTAAAAAATGGCAGTCACAAGAAGATGAATATGGAGACCGAAAACCTGTCCACTATTTTCCCACAATCTGTTTACAGGCATGACTCGTCAGGTTGCAGTGTTGGGGAGGTGAAGCACAAGGAATCTGAATGGGACGCTTGGGATCTAGAAAGCTTTCAACTCTGCAAGACTCTGCCACAAATCAGTTGGGCTGCAAAGGGACAACATGCATTCAATGACTGGAGCTACTGAAAAAACCACAAGGTAGCTTTAGATAGCGAAAGCAGACTTGACTCGTGGTTTCTTGCTGCTGGGCAGGGTTTTCAATCTCCCTTTGTCAGGTCACCTTGGACAGAACAGCCTGATACTAAAAAGCCAAAATAAAATAAAAGAAAAAAAGAAAACATGACCCAGGAAGATTACTTATGGCATCAGGGTGTGTTTCACACTTGCCTCGAGTCTAATAAGATTTTTTAGTGGAAAAAAACACTAAGAAATGATAAAGGTTATACATATTTCCCTGTTCACTTAAGTGGCATTAAATCAAGTATTTTGGGTTCACTGCATATAAGAAAAACATGTTATGTGGATTTTATTATGATCAGTAAAATGCAGATGATTTCTGCTCAATCATGCCACCATATTCATTATGGACCATATTCATAAAGGTAAACAGCATTAATTTCCTACTGTTGAACTCGGTGATTTAGCTCCCCAAATTATACTAGAATATATTTCAATTAAGCTAATTTATTGGCATCCTTTCAAAAAAAATTTTTTTAGTGCAGAAACTATTGCACACTGAAAATTGGTAAAAGGTGCATTTTTATGAATGGTGAAACAATGATGTGCCGCTTTTGTACACATTTTTGCATTATTATCCTGTTTGAAGACACACCAAAAAGTAAGTTTTAGTTTTCAGGCAGAGGACAAAATAGCTGCTTTTCAGTACTTCAGAGAGTTCAAGATCCCATTCTGTTCAAACTGGGGTCCTAAGCCATGGGACACCCACACCAAAGGGGTGTCAAGATACCAATATAAAAAGTAAAGTCTAAATCTTAAAGACATTGTGAATGGAGATAAGCAAGTTACAGAAAAACTTTATTGGGTTCATGCAATAATAATAATAATAATAATAATAATAATAATAATAACAAAGAAAAAAGGAAATCAAAGGTCCTCGACAGGAACAGAAACTGAAGAAACTCAGTTTCTTGTCCTCTATTCTGGTTGGAAAAGCATTTTTCTAAGTCTCTGAGTCAAAAATCTGAATTTTATGTATGTTGTTTTAAACCATTTTCTGCAACTACAGAACCAAGAAATGCATGCTAATTTAAATCAAAAGCACAAAGATTTAATTTATTGCAGAACATTTGATATAACTGACAAGATGGAGATGTGCATACTCAGAGAATTCACTTCACATTTGAATTAAAGTGTCTATCCTAACAAACACGTTAATAATACTCTGAAGAAAATCTGTAGCTTTCAACTATACAACTGAAAATTCCATGGTGTAAATAGAAACTCGACTACTGTCTCACATGTAAGGAGACCGACACATGCAACTTTTCAAAAATGTGACAATCTCCATGCTGAGTAGCAAACAAGACAGACATTTATCCTGTTTTGTATATGAATAGTAAAAACCTGTAGGCTTTCATTTTATGCAATAAGCAAAAAAAAAAAAACAAGTTTACATATAAAGCAAAATTTCAAGAACTCAATGTGAAAAATGTGAAAATGAACAGACTTACCTATTTTCTAAAACAGTAGCATTATTTAGATGTTGAACTTTTTTTTTTTTCCAGAAGAAAAAGTAAATCAGACTTAATGTATTATTACCACAAGGTTGACATGGATTTGGTTTAAAAAAAATTATTTGCAGATTAATTTTAATTTAATACATAATTTGTTTCTATGAGCAGAAAGATTCCGAAACATCCACAAGTTGCAGCAATCAATGTTGAGGCATTGCTTTTGCTTTCTGTGAAGCGAAGGAGCTTGTTTTAGGTGACATTCTGTTCCAACATTCATGTTCACCAAATGCTAGACTGAAAGCAAAGTCACAGGCAGCAACAAGCGTTTTTCAGCAACTATCCTATTGAAACATGTCTACATTTATTAAAGAAAGATGAATAGCTAAAGAAGCCACTTACTCATTGTTTATGGAAGATTCTGGACCGAAAATGTCTGAAATAGAACTGGAAAGGGAGAAAGAGGAAAGAGAGACAGAGAACAATATGATTTAATTTACCAGCTTTAAACTGAAAAAATAATGATCCGACTTCCACCTAAATAACTCTAAAGGCAAATCTTTTACAGCCAGTTGGGTTTTTGTCCCCCCACTGAGGGTCTGACATATCCAATTGACCTATTCATCACAGGCAACGCCATATTACCCACAGTCTGTGCAAAATGTCAGAAAGATCTTGAAGTGGTATGAAAAGGAAAACCTCGTCATACCCTTGTTCTAATCGACTCTTAAGGGTGATTTTGTTCCATCACACACAAATCTCCAAAGTCAGCCAAGTATTGTGTTAATGCTCCATCAGCTGTCCTTTGCCGACAGCACAGCTGATGTGGCTAAGGACTAGACTGTCTTAATTAGACATATCACAAATTTATCATTGTTACTATAACACTCTACAACATACTAATCTCAAAGAACTTCCAGGACTGTACTAAGTGTGGTCTTCACTTAGGCTCTCTATATTTTGCCATTAATATAATTAGTGGCACTTACTGCTAAATGTAGAATAAAATGTTTTACATGACAAAGAGATGTGAAAGTGGTCAAGTCATAAAGAAACTACAACAGAGTAGTTTCATCACCACAACAGCAGATGTCAGGGAGAAGCAACTTTTTCAATCAGATCTTTTTGAGATGAAAATATATTGTTTTGTTCATTTCCAATAACTGAACAAATTAATCATCATCACCAAAGTTTGCTATGAACTTAAAGCAGATAACATTATGAATACTTAATTATCTCAAACCATAGATTTATTGTCAAACCATATAGTTATTGTTACATTCACCAATACTTTTGCATATTTTCTCCATTATTAATCAGCTCTAGTGTTGTCTAGTTTTAAGCAGAAAAAGTGTTTGTCATTTCACTAACAATATTATGTTTCATGACAGAATATGTCTATGTGATGATTATATTTTGAACAAAATTCATTAATAATTTAACCCATTATGGAGAAAGACTTTAATTTTGAAGTCAGACTCTCATCTGCTCAACGGCAGATTCTGGCTTTTATTCTGAAAACTATTTAAAAGATTTGTCTGAAATGCCAACATAATCCCTTATTCATGACTGGTTTAGTTCCTTTGATAATTGGGAACCTACTATTAATATATCGACCTTTTTTTTTGTTGTTGTTGAAAAGTAGCAAAACATTTTTTTTGAAAGCCCAAATCAATCTTTTATTGGTCTGGGGTCAATATGATTGTAAAACCGACTAAAATGTATGGCTCAAACAATAATATGATGGACTATTATTTTGAAGAGTATTTTCCAGCTCTGCTCTTTGAGCTTACATTAATCCGTTCTTCATCATAATAGGTTTAAATCCTCAGGGAATTTTAATTCTTTTAACGGAACATGTCCTTTTAGATTTAACCACTGCAGTTTATTTATTTCTTTTTATAGCTATACATGGTCTCGCCCCTTCCTCCCTATCCAAGGTGCTCCCGCACCATTATATTAACGGCAAATGGCCTGTACTTGTAGGGATCCCAAAGAACTTCACACTCCATTCAGTCATTCACGGGCTGATTATCTATCCTATGTCATGGTGTCGCAACTTGCTCGCTCAGGTCAGCTGTTCCTGAGAGCATTCTGGCGGAGAGGTGTGTGCTTTTACTGTGACTGGTCCTAAAATGAGGAATGATTTACTGGTGCACATCAGGTAGAATAAATCACTGTTTTTAAATCACTTCTTAAAACTCATTGCTTTGCCTTGGCTTTTGACAACCAATGAGATCTAGACTTTAGTTTGTTTATATTGCATCACAATATTAGATATTAGTAATTACATATAGCATATCTTGCTATATGTAATTACATGTAATTTTTGTTATGTATTCTGCACAGAACATTTCTCCTTACGGTAGCAGAAAGTGTTTTATAAATAAATCTCAATGCAATTTAAGGACATCTAAGGTAAACTTTAAATAGCAGATTTGTTTAATTGCTGCAGCACTTAGTTGAAACAAGAAGCAATAAGTATTAGTTGAATAGCTTGGTACATGCTGATTTGGTCTGTAATTTGGGACTTTAATTATCTTTGATTATTGTGATTACCTTCTGAGCAATAATTGAGCTAAGATGAAATAATTGCATTGCTTCACTGTAGCACTTTGCATTGCTGATTAGAAAAGATAGACCTAACTGGTTCAGACGTCTACAACTTGTCTGTACATCTTGATTTGCCTTAAATTAACTGTAAAGTGGCTGATAAACATAAATAAACAAGATTTACTGTTAATCTTACAGTTCAACGCTTTAAGTGGAAATAGTTCCACACAAACTAGACTTGATTTTTTTTACTTTTAATAATGTGTCTGTAAAGTACTAGTGTGTACGTAAATAATTCTACTTAAATACTACAGTTCTTATAAGAGCAGTAATTATAATTAATTTGATTTATATATTTTAGTATTTCTGTTTTTAAATAAAAGTAATGTGATTATGGAATATGTCATGAAATGTGTTTATTTTGTTTCTATAACAAAATGCCCTGAAACAATGCTAATTTTGTTTAGACTCATCAAACCATGAGAACCATATACCATAATGGAAACAGTTAAGTCAAGTTAGGTTATCAAAATGCATAAAACTTAAATGATTTCTCACCTGCTGATGGACACGTCACTAAAGCTGGGGCTGGATGGCAACTCCATTCCACTTGCAAACGAATCTTCATCATTTTCTTCATCTTCAACCTTTATCACTACAGAACGGTTTATTTCTCCAACATGAACTGCACAGAATACAAGAAAATACACTTTCATTACACATTTTCAGGTATGTAAATATGTACCTAAAAATATGTTTTTTGGCAACAAAAAGGTCAGTTTTAATGTTGACTTATTTATCCAGGGTTTCACCAAGTAAAGTTGTTCACAGAACATATGGAGATTTCTGATCTGGCATGCGAGTCAACTGTATTTGTGCTTGAATATTATTTTTTCTTTATATCCATTAGCAATAAGTTTTAGCAAGTCTGCGTTTATTAAGACCAACTTTACTATTCAAGCATTCTCAAAAAGCAGCTGGTACAGGATAAGTGAGAACAGGTGGACGGTTCTCAATAGTGGATTTCTAAGAAAGACTGAATAAAAGGTTGTTCTGAGCTAGAACTTATGTACCAAATTTCTGCTGCCAGCACATTTCCAGACCATGAATTATAATAAGAATCTGGAGTTTGAGCTGTTTAAGACCCAGTAAAATCCTGTTGTTGTGTTGTGAACAGTGCTTTATTATTTAAGAGCCTGCACTTGTGTTTTCCATTGCTTGTCTGTTTTTGTAATTAATAAGCCAACTGTTGCTGACAGTTGATATGACCAATAATTATCACTGTTGTAATACCAGAAGAATGTGAAGCTTGGGTCTCTTTGTCCACCTTCACTTCCTGCTTCATATGGGCTTGCCTGGTGCTCTGCAGTCGGCCTCGGACCTGTGCAATTAGCCGGAAGAAGTCACCACTGTGCTGCTTTCCTGTGGACAAAGGATATATTAAAGAGCTATAGAGATACATGTGTGCGTCAGTGCTATAAACGTAATGTTTTTCAATAACTGAAGTGGTAGCCACGTGGGTTAAAGAAAATAATACATCATAGCAGACAACAGAAAAACTTAAACGAATGCAGAGTAATATATATGGGGACTCATATTGGTGGTTCGCTTTTGTTCTAATAAATAAAATTCTCATTTAAAAGCCACTTTCTGTTTTTTACCTATTATCTTTGTCGAATATAAAAATTGTTTCATGATTTGAAACATTTAAGTATGACAAAAGCAGAGTAAATATGTAATGTGGAAAATACTCTTTCAAAACGCTGTAAATAGTGTTGTAATGCGTACTTTTTCATGGTGTAGGGAAAACAACTTCTCCAAATGGAGAATTAAGGCAATTGATGCTATACAGGCATCTGTCAAAGATGCTTCTGTGATGCTTTCCAAATAAGTTATTCCAGTCATGTTTCACCAGGAAAAGACCCTGGGGCAAAACAACGACACTATAAGATTAGGGCCTCACTGGCTGGGAAGTGTCATGATTTCCTCTGCTGGAGAATCCTGAGTCTGTCTGCAGGAGCCAAACCAGGATCCATATAATGCTCATTCAAGTTAAATTATATCAAATTTGACCACTGCATTTTTTTACTCTCTTGGATCTTTTGTGATTTATTGCTGTTAAATGAGCTAATGTTTAAATAAATTAGAATAAACAGATTTGTATTTTCTCATTTCAGAAGTTATAAAGTGATACAGCAGCATTTCTATGAACAGACTACATCTCTCTGGTCTATCATAGTAGACTACGTGGCAGCTAGGGTAAAAGGGAAATACTGCAGCTGTCTAAACCACGTAAGCATTTATAAGTCTCATTCTTAATTTTTTTGACATGTACTTTCTGACCTTCCAATGCAGGCTTTGGAAACTCATCAACACTGACATCTGATGTGACAGGAAAGTCTAAAAACAGCAGCTGTTGGTCTCTTTTCTAGCTAGAATTAGTCGTGGAAAGTTGATCAAATGACGACTGCTGGCTGTGATATGCAGGGAAGCATGCCAATTAGCAACACATCATCCTTACAGAACAGTTACTGGATGAAATAATTTACTGGGACAATGGTGTCTTTGTGCCCAGGTGCTGCCAAAACAACTATGATCAGTCAAAAAAAATAGACCCACGAAGGTGTGCATTGGTATCCAACACCAAGATGTTAACAGATGATCATTTCAAGTCTTGAAAGTTAATACGCATAAATCCATGAATTTTGTCTATTTATCCAGCACATGCCAGATTTAAATTTGGAGAATTTGCCGGCCTCAAAACAATGCTGTATTACTTGGAAGCATCATCCAGTTAAAAGAACTCACAGCCATGATGAATTTTTTTACAGTTTCCATAAAACAATCTCAAACAGCATACTTCTTGCTGTTTATATTTGTTTTGTGTTGTAAAATCATTTCACTTGAAACCAATGTCAAAAAAATTCAAAAATAAGCAGGTCACACTGAAAAAGTCTACAAAGTCCTGAAGGATTTTGTGTTTGCATGAGTATATGCTCCTTCCACATTCATATTTGCTCACTCACTGTTCCCCATGCCAGTAGAGTGACTCATCCACAGCCTCCTCTGATAAATCAAGAGGTTATCAAACCAGAGCAGCTATAAATAGAACCCACCTCCTGTGAGTCACATCCATTTCTCAAACACTTTTAAAGTTAGCTGTATGAAGTTATTTTCAACAAGCTCTTTATCCAACTATGTCAACATGACTTGAATTGTGATTAGGATTATGTCCTCTGATACTAAAAAAATATGTCATTACATGTGGGTTAAGCCAGTTATCTTGACATCCATGGTCACTAAAAAGTAGGAAACACACTTTCTATTTCATCATATCTAGATGTCAAATAATACCTATTCATCTGCACAGAATTTGGTACTGCACTGATAAGGGTATCGCTCCAGACAGAGGCTTTCTACACTGATTAAAAGTTTGGATATGGTTGTGTTACAATGGGCCTGTCTCAGACGTGAAATGATTTTATATTATGAACAAGCACGTATTCAAAGGAACAGCATACATCTCTGTTGTATTAATATGCAGCACTTCATTCCACATAAAACAGCACCCTGCTGATTCTGTGAATCTTTTGTACTACAATGGATGAGGCAGGCGCTGACACTTATAAAAGCTTAGACTTCAGGGAACTGTCAAAGAGCGATTCGATATTGACTATACCACTTTACCCCAGTGCTGTGCCCTGGTAACAAACAGCTTGCAACCAAAATAGTATAAGAAATATACAAATAAGATGAACATGACATTTTATGATGAATTTTTGATAATTCTCAACGTAGAAAGTCTGAATATCACTCAAAAATAAAATAAAAACACAAAAAGGAGAGTGTAATTGAAGTGACTAAAATTGAATCTCAGATCATTTTGACACTTGAGCCATGAGACGGTTAATATCCAAGTTTTAAAAAGAATGTTTAGTCCTGTGATTCTCAGAGTAGGTTCATAATAAGAGGAGTAAACAAGCCTACTGGATATTTACTTAGCGTATTTCCTCTGATTTCTTCTTCAAATGTGTCAACCCGGATTTGTTTTTGAAATATACATTCACCAAATTAGTATTTCCACGGTGACAGGCACTACCTGGACAAGCTCAAGTACCTAGTAGAGCCTTTGTCCAGCCACAGCACAGGAGGAGTTTATTTTGTTGACAGTTTTGGAGCAAACATTGCCATCTCTCATGAAAGGGCTCAGGTACATGGTCTTTCTGTGTAACGATCACAGTGTATCACTGTGTGATGCGGTATAAATGTCATGAATACACAGAAAGAGGATAAAAAGGAAACAAAAGAGCTACAAGGATAATATCTGCTGTTAAACGTAGTCAGTCATAAAAAATAAACAAAGATCAGATAAATCTATAAAAAGAATCAAACTTCTTCATAAATGTAGAGGGTTTTTCTTTTAATGTAGTGAAATCATGGGTGTCATTGGTTTTTTTTGCACAAATAAATTACATTAATTGTAATGTTTTTAAAATACAATACATTTTTTGCCTCTAGTTTTTAATATGTTGAGGCTCGTTTGCTTCTTCATTTCAAAGAGAATAATTTTAAAACAGTATCTTATTTTCAAAAATAAAACTTATCTTTTCAAGATTACTGACAGTGTTTCAGACATGCCAATTTAGTTAAGTTCTTCATTAATCCCCCAAATTTTTCAGATAGTTTTATTTTATGCAGAAATAGAGGCACTTTCAAATGAAAACCGTAATGCTCAGTACTGATTTCCTCCCCCTTTTTTCTGTAAAACGTTTTTGTTGTTTATTGGCGGGCCTGGAAAAAAACTGTCCTTAGGCCCAACCAAAAAAGTTGGAGAACTAATGTTAAAGACTTGGTGCAAGTAGAATATTTATCATAAGGACAGTTGGGGCAATATATGGAATTATTTATTTGTATTTCTAATGAAAGTGTTTTTACTAGCCTTTATTCAAATTGATTCACAAAATATTTGTACTGTCTGAGGTGTAATCCAGATCTCTAGATAAGTCAAGAGTCTCGTCTATGCCAATATGTAATAGGGTTTTCCAACCCAAGTCAAATGAGTTGGTAACGCTACTTGTCCTTTGCAGACAGAAAGTTGATGTCATCAAGAAAAACTGTGTAAATATAATAAAAGTAAGGCCTAAATTAAGAAAAACACAAGTACAGGTGTCCCTGTACTTTTCTTAATGTTACTGATTGCAAACTTTGTTAAAAGAAACCCAGAATCCTCTTAAACTTACAGGTCAAATATTTCAATAACTTTGAAGACTGCACATCTGGCACAAAACCACTGATTGATGAAAGTCTGGTTCACACTGTCCCCACACTTTTTGAACAAGACTGACTGAGAGTGTAAAACCTACATCCCTCAAGGCTTTCTCACAGCTACCTGTTTATTCTCCACCATTTCTTGAGTCACTTTGTCTTTATAGAATCACCTAAAGGCTGCAGCGTTTCTCATGGCGTTTGAAGACAACAAAATGAAAACAAAAAGACAAAACTGGTTGATTTACGTCACTGCTGGCAGCTCACTCTCACACTAAATATCTCAGAAAGACCTGCTTATCAGGAACTGTCGCACACGACAGCCTGCAGGTCACTTATACCATTCACATTCATAGTTCATAGCCTCCTGCGAGATAGAAGTGGAGGGTAAACTCCACAGCTGGTAATAGAAAAGGATGCAATAGGCTTATGTAAGTGGGTGAAGCAGTATTTATAATCTTGAGTTTAAAATAAACTACTTGGATGTAAAACTAGAAAAAAACATCACAACAGACAGAAAGAAACAGCACTTACTATAATTTGAATGCATCTCCTCAATCTCTTCCTCAGACTGATTCTTTGTGAAAACCATGACCTGCAAATCAATAAGGTGAAAGGAACGTTTATGAAAACAAAGTGACAGGCAAAGTCTTTGTTAAATTGTCAGTAACAGTAAACTTTTTTTAACTATAACTTCTAAGTTTTTTTCTGAAATTGGAACAAATAAATGTTTCACACATTATGAATTTGCAACTAAAATGCCATGTTTTTTTCAGTCATAAAAATATTAAATTACCTTTACAGCTAAAATCAGCAACTCTTATGAAAAAAGTACAAAAACCATCAAAATTAATATATCTTCAGCTGTCTTTGGTAAATAAATACTTACAGGTTTAGTCTTCTCCTGCATCTGACTTCTCATCTTCTCATTGGCCTCCACCTCTCTAGCAATCTCTTCAACTGTTAACAGCATAGAAAGAAATCTTTGAATCAGCAGTATTATAAAATCCAAACAAAAGAAACATCCAGTGGGAGTAATGCCTTGCAAAATAACTTGTATTCAACTTTGTTACAACAACAGAAATAAACTTCACAATTTTATTAAATAGACTCAAAGAAAAAAAATCTGAAGTAGCAAGAGAAGGTTTTTCTGTTATAAAGCATCTGAAAGGTGTGGCATGCATACCACATTTAAACCAAGAATGCACTGTCTCTCAACCAATCAATGCTCTGAGAAAATAAAAATGTAAACAAGAAGCATGACCGGTGTCTCATCTTTTTCTCCTCCTCAACAGGCAACACCCTTATGTCCAACTGTGAGCAGAAAACGTTTTAGAGAAATCTCAGAATAAATGATACTGAGCTTAGAGATAAATTACTCCAGAATGCTCCTGTTAGACGAAGGCTATAAATTAATGTCAACTACATCTCTGAATTAAAAATGACTACCTATGAAATGATCTCATCCTCTGAGAAGAATGTCTGATCACAATACATACCATAGTACCCTCAAACTGCTACACCAAGTCTGGAATGCAGTATAACAACCTATTGAAGTGAATCCATTTTATCTTTGTAGGTTAATTAATGCAAAAAGAATTCGTAACAGCTGGAATTCTTGCAAATGGCAGGAACTTTCATGGTCTGCTAATTTAATTGATATTCATAACCACATTAATATATTCAATTACTGTTTCTCTTTTTTTTAATTACAGCCATCCTTTGTTCCTGCCTTACTGTGGTTAGTCCTCTGATTCTATTTGCACATTTTTTGCAAGAAAAAAAAAACATATACAAAGTGACTTCAGGTTGACCTACTGAGCTGATAACCACCTTCACAGAATGAATTCTTCCTCACCGAGTTCCCTTTCAGACCCTGTCAGTTCAGGTCTTATTTCAGTGTGGACAATTACACTCCAGGCTCAGCCACAAAAGCCATAGCTCTCAAGGAAATGCTTAATACATCAAACTTGTGTGTTTTTGTTCATTTTTATTCAGTACTTATTGGAGAGAAACAAAAACGAAATGGTGCTCATGACTGAAACATAAGACATACAGCTAAGTAAAACAATCAGTTTAACAATTAATGACTCCCTAGAGAAAAAGTTCTCGTTTTTAAACAATATTTTTCCAAGTGCATTCCCATGTCTTTAGAAATGTTGCCGTTTTATACAAGTATTCCAGAAATTCCTGGTAGTGCCAGGTTGATCTGTTCAAACAATAACATACAAATATAGACAAAATATGAAAGTGGAGTCATCAAACTGTTCATTAGGAGATAGAGAGATAAAAGTAAAAGACCCTGTGAAAACACAGGCTGAGCCCGGAGTGTAATTATCCACAGTGAAATAAGACCTGAACTGACAGGGGCTGAAAGAGAACTCAGTGAGGAAGAAGCTATTAATCCAAAAGCATAACAGAAGCAGAAAAAAGGCCAAATTGCAGTTTGTAGTTAAGGACAAAGATTTTATTATTTGGAGACATTTCCTGTGGTCTAATGAAACCAACACTGCATTGTTTGGCCATAATGACCATTGAATATTTGTAGAACAAAGGGGGAAAGTTGCCAGCATGAGTATACCTTCCCAGTTGCAAAGTATAGGGGTGACAGCATTATGCTATGTAGCTTTTTTGCAGGAGAGAGTGATAAACTTCTCAAAATATATGGCATCATAACAAAAGAAAATGTGGAAATACTGAAGCAGCATCTACAGACATCAGTCAGGAGGATTGGCTTGGATACAAAGTGGTCATCCAAAAGGTCACAGAGCCTAAGCTTGCCACCAGATTGTTTTCAAAGTTACTTATAGACAACAAAGTTGATGTTTTTGAATGTCCAATTAAAAGTTCCTGATTCCAAGCTCATACAAGATGTGTTGCAAACAAAGCTGCCAATCAACCTGACTCAACAAAATGTAAATGCAAATTTATTCATCATTTTTGTTCTTATATTTTAGATTTTGTGAATCTGCAGGCTTCCACTTTGCTGTTGGCACACCTACATTTCCCCACTGAGGGACATTAAAGCATATTTATATTATGTTCTTTCAAAAAAAAAAAAAAAAAACAGAATCTTGCTCATCATTCTGCCATTTTTTCAAATATAAATTATTTCTATAGTCCTAATTTTCCTAAAATGTGAAACATTTTATTATTTGATATCAAAAAATGTCAACGTGTCTTATCTGTTTTCAGATGTATTTATAAAGACAAGGCTGTCTCACCTGATTTAGGCTTCAGGGAGTCACACTGCGAGTTGTACAAGTAGACAAACTCTTTGTGTCTTTTGATCAGCTGGTCCCGAGTTCCCTGCATTGACAGATGGCAGTCCTTCAACCTCCTCTTCAGATCCTGCACTGAAAGGAGATTGTACACTAGCTTTGCCATCGGACGCACGGTTGTGCCTTGAGAGCTGAAGGAGACAAATGAACAGATTACCCACAAGAATAAAGTTATTATGTGGTTCTTTCTAGGATGATCAAGTTAATTACTGATATTAGCATAACAATAAAAATGCAAGGTTAATCAAATACACCACATACATTAAACTTATTTTGTGGAATGATTATAGATAAATAAGACACCTGCCCTTAATTATGATAAAGCAGTGGCTACACTGCTTCACTAACCGAAGCACATTGATGCTTTACAAATCAACAATCAAAATGGTTTCAAGGGCAGCTTTAAAAAAGATCAATCACTTTATAAAGTCACACACTGCATATTGATGCAGTCTGCAGCCAAGATGAGGTCTGTGACATTAAATGCTTTTTACAGCCACAGACGGTTTGCAAATATAAGACAATCATTTACCATAACATCACCCAGTACAAAGACGGACACTAAAGGGACAGAAGAAATTTAAAGCAGAACTGCAGCAAGAATGAAAATGAGAGCCCAGAAGTTTTGAGTAATTTGTTGCCAAAGTCAGGCAGGTGATATTAGTTTAAAATCAGTCAGTGTGCATTTGAGGCCAATGCAGCTGGGGCAAAACTGTTATTTCATTCCATATTGATCATAATTTCAACCTTTAATGTCACTAATAAGGCAGAAAATGCAACATGATTTAGCACATTAAAGCACACAGCACATTTCTGTCAGGTAACCTTAGCTTTAGGTTTGTCATTTTGTTATCCAACTTATATCAAGTTCAAGTAAATACAGAAATAAAGCAGTGTTATTCAAAAATAGGTCCTAAAATCAATTAATCTTAAAAAGTATTGTTAAAAAGTACATTGTTTCAACAGAATTTGGTTGTCATTTTTTATTAATGTTAAACAAAAAAATTCTGCCGTTTCCATCAATATTTTTGCTTAGGAATTTTAATCAAATTCAAAATAAGGAAGAATAAATGTTTTCGGTAACTTTTTTTATAATTAATAATTATTTTAGCAACATGAGGAATTGACAAACTTCTACAGATGCAGCCTGCCGACAGGCTGCATCACAGTGGGGTACTGGAATAGACCCGGAACAGAGTGTGGTGAGAATGGTAGAGGACATCAGCAGTCAAAAAGGAGTTGCTATCCATTTTGCTACCAGTGAGTTTATGAAATTATTAAAGAATAATAACTTGACTCCTTTACCTCCTCAGGCTTTCCTTCTTTTCCCCGCTGGAAAGACACGTGTCCAGATGTTTGTTGATAAAGTGCTGTGTCACACTAACAGAGCACACAGGACACTCAACTAAAAAACAAAATTTAAAAAAAGGTTAGGATGAAGGCTTTGTTAGCATCTTAATCGACACTCAACACTAATTAATCATTTAGATTCCTTACTGCCAAGCTTAATTTGACTGCAGAGCATAAATAATGAATCTTAACTTGGTCCCAGCCTATTATGTTGTCACAGCAAACTGCATTGCTGACCATACTCATTCAAAAAGGTTAATATGTGAAATTACTTATAACCACCTGAGAACCATGATTAATGATTCTAATTATTAACTACAAGTCATAAGAACAGTAATACTTACAGAGGAACAGTAAAAAATAAAATGTCTCCTGAAATATAAAACATTATATTTGTCACTTAGCAAAAGCATACAACCACTTAAAAATTTATAACTCATAAAAATTCATACATCACATCTAAAGTTAAAAGAATAAAACTACAATTAGCTTGACTGAAATTTCTGAAATATAGCAGAAATAAAAATTTATATTTGGAGCTGCACAACACACTGAACTGCACTCATGCAGATGAAATGACTGCAATATTTGGAAAGTTTCTATGTCTTTTGAATGGTCATTATCTTTTCATCCCATGCCTGCATTTCTAAAACTGTGCAGGACTATTTATGATCATGTTAAATTTGACTCATCACTGCAAAGCTTAAACAGCAAAGTTAACATCAGAACAATGTGGCAAGAAAACCAGTTCAGATAGGTTGATGAAATCATCTGAAGTAAAACAATCTTTCAGGTTCAAACCTGAAAGATTGTTTAAAAGAAATAATCAAATCAGTCAAAAATCAGGATTGGATCATCTTGTCTCCCCCTGATTGACTGATTAGTGGTGGACGGGTCTAACTGGGTCAAATCTGCATTAAACAAAATAAGACTGAGAGCTTCCTGCATTTTTAGAAAAAAAAACATCTACCAACATAGTAAACCTTGATGCACAGTTTTTAACTGTGCTTTGATGCATAAATGCAAATAATCTTAAAACTCAAGTCAAATATTCTATTGTATTTAAAACTATGTTCTTCACGAGAAAAAGAGAAGAGAAAATACAATCTACAGGAAACTGAAAAAGCCTGATCAGAACATATTTTTAAAAAATATATAAAGTGTAATCATCTTATTTCCTGGAAGTTTAAAGATCTGCAACCCCTCTCTCGTACTCAGAGCTATGCATGGAATCATTATGTGTTGCTGTTTTGCAGCTCTAAATGTGCCTTTCTAGTCCTTGTTTTTTTTCTCATTTCATGCAGTGGTTAGAGAGGCAGAAAATGACATGAAAGGGAGCAAAAAAAGCAGCTAAAAGGGCAACACACTCCTAGTAGCACAAAGCTAAAATGGCTGCACCTTTTATTACAGGCTTTACATCTTTTGATGGTGATGAGGAATGTGCCATCTCAAACCCAGTAGTCAGACAAGGCGTGACCTCCTGTTTCAGGGACATCAGAACCTTGACAGACGGTTCCTCCACATCCACCGGTTCTTCCTTTACCACCGCTGACATTTGAGCTTTTTCAGAATGTAGGTCAGAGCCCTTTGCTCTACAGCTCGGTGTTCTCTGCACTTCTCCCTGGTGAACATCCTGATGAGTTTCTTTACCGGGAGGTGTTCTGGTCTTCTTTTGGAAAAAGTGACTTAAAATGGAACTGCCGGACCTCTGGCTGTTCTCCCTGGGAGTTTTGCATTTGATTGCGGAAGCTGGGGTCTTTGGCGATATTGGAGGGGATTCAAAGTTAGCTTTTAGTAACTGCTCCCTGGAAAAAGAATTAACAAAAGCAAAGTAAATAAAAAATTCAATATTAAACAAAAAATATATTTTCATATGTACAGTTCATGCAGGGAAACAAACTGAGAATCCTCATTAAGCATACTGAGCACATCTGAAAGAACCTATATCCACCAGTGCCTGCTTGTGACATTTGAGAGAGCACTTTAAGGAAATCTGCTGGAGCTCACTTATTCTATGGCTCGTCTGCAGAGCTAAAAAAGGAGACACTTTGGCCACCGTCTTGGAAAAGTGGAAAGCAAACAAACTGCAGCGGGCCATTGCTTGGCAATAAAATGAACTCAATGAGGTGTGTAATGTTCTGCTTTCCATATCTAAAACTCCTTGGTGCTTACTGTTTCCATTAGAGCAGGTTCATGCTCATGCATGTCTGTGACCAGATACACACACATACACAACCAGTGTGATGGGGGAGCAGGGTCCTCCCATGACACTTTTCCTGGTAGCATTCATCCTTAACACTTCATACACTCAGACAGGTAGAGTCTACAACACAGTCACAAAAGAAACCCAAATCAAAATGAGTGATGAGTTGTTAATCTTATAAATTCCTATCATACCTCCCTGCAGTACATCTAATGACAAATTCACTGTTATCAATTTTGTTTTTAACCGCAGAAAATATAAAACACTTAAAAGCAATGCAGCATTGTATTTACTCAGTTTCTCAGTACTTTAGGAGTCTTCATGGTTCTTAGTGCTAAAACACCAAAGGGCGTTCTTTTATAGGTTCAGAAAACATCAGATCGTTAAACTAGTCTCAATGGCACTTAAAGGCCAACAACAATGTTACTGGTGATGCGTCATTATAGAGGAAGGAAATAAACTGCAATCCATTTTTAAACATGTAAAAATAAAACAACAATTTACTGTCTTCAAAATTGATATCACTTTTAGCTTCATATTTTTAGAGATAAGCATCTCATCTCCTATCAGTAAAAATTCCTGTTGGAATAAAACTCATTTCAAATCAAAATCTACCAGAGGTATCAAATTTTCACTAAAGTTTATTTACTGAACTTTTTTCTCTAAATTGGATTTCAAACTACAACAATACGGTAATCAAATTATGTTTTTACTAAACTCAATTTCAGTTATTTTATTTTGCTACTGTGAACTTTTTGGAATTTTTAATAAGGTAGTATGTTTTCGTTTTCATTTATTAACTGACTGGTAGAGACCAGGTGATCCATGTTTGTCAAGTTCATGTTGAAAAAATGATCTTAAATATGATGTGAACTTATTAAAAAGGCAATCTATGTTCAAATCAGCCTCGACTCGTTTCTTTCCTGATAAAATATGACTACATCCATAATTCATTAATGAGCAGCAGAAAGGAGAGCACTCATTGTTTCTAATATGAAGATGAGAAGTATCTGGAGTATATGCAACCTGTTTTTAAATTATCCAACTGTCCTCATAGGAGTCAAAATTAAAAGTAAAAAAGAAAGAAAGAAATTCAAATTGGTCGACGTGAAAAGTTTTTCCTTGACAGCAACGTCAATCATTTACACTTAAACTGATTCTGAGAGTGCAGTGTGGAAAAATTGTTGTGAATTTCAAGTGCATCATGAACATTTCATTAAAATATAATTTATAAAGTACATTTGAGAAATAGAAGAAAACCTGGTCTCTAAGTGAGCAGAAACTTGCACAATTCTGATAAAAAATGGCAACTTCTGAGCAATTTGGCAGACTGTCTGCTCTAGTCCTAGTATTTCTATAAATAATCTCTATATTGATGCAAAATAGGTGTAAAAAACTAAATAAATAAAACCTAAACTCAACTTAAACAGTCGACACTTTGGTAAGTGTGTAGACAGTAGGATTAAATACATTTTAAAAGTGCCTCAATTAGTAAAAATATGTTTGGTGGAAATTAAACACATTTATCACCAATGTTCAAACCCAATTTAAAAGTAAACTAATGCAAGGAGAGACTGTATGATGAGTGATATCTGTAGCTATATATTAATGAACCACTGTGATAACCACTGATGGTTCAGCTTCTGCTTTAATGGCAGTAAATTATGGATATCATCCAAAAACTACTTAATGCAGTATTTTCACACTGAGAGGCCGATCCCTGAACATATACAACAAACAGGTGTTTGAAATAATTATCCTAAAACATTTTCTACACTGATGTGTTTCTACTGCAGGCAAAAACTAGAACCCATAGAAAGAGCAGTGTGGCCCCAAACCATGTAAGCTTTCAGCACCTGGTGGGGGCGTCAGATAAGGCTTCTGCATGTTGGTGTTCCTGCTAAAGCCTTATTTATTTATTTTTTTTTACCCAATTTTCCCTTTATGACAATCTTAAAATGTCCTGCAGTGTGTGGTGTGTTGAATATGCCCGATCTAAAATCAGGCATATTCAACATTGTCTTGCCCCAATGATTGCACCCTGTGCAATAATTGGGCCGTCACATTCAACACAGCCTGTTGAATGTGACGGGTCCAAGGCGTAGATCATCTTGCATGCAATGTTCACATGGTGGATATTGAGCTCTGAATTGGTGACAACCCCACCAACTTTCCCACTTGGAGTTATTACTTTTCAGGTCCTTTCTATACACTTTTTCTTCTTATTTAAACTTTTGACTAAAATAATACACATAATAACTTTGTTTTAATCAATCATGGTGTACAAGTGGAGAGATTTGTTTTCTTTTGAATTTATTTATTGTTTTTATGATGTCCAGGGTGCAGCCAGTCTCTTGCCCGATGACCACAGCAGTATCCACAAACCCCACCAAAATCCAGGGAGGAAAAAACGGATGGATTTTCCTTTTTTGTTTTGAATATTTTAGTGCCATTATATTATTTAAAATTTTGTCCTTTGCCCCTTTTCCTCACACATAAGAATTAGGAGAATGGAGAAAAGAAAAGCTCTCTTGGCTACAGGGTGTGAAACCACATCATATTCTAATATGAATCTAGAACTATGTCTACATAAAAACAGCACTTTATTATGACTGGGCCACTTACAAGAAATTTCCTCTCACAGATGCCCAGAGCCGGACAACAGGAAATTAAACTCTGGAGCACAGAACGGCAACATAACCCACTTATTCATAACAGCGATGTTGATCAGAGGTTTTGCTATTGGCGGTGAAACCCTTCATCGCATGATTGATGGAGGAGACAAATATTGCAGCTTATTGACAGATAATAGCACTCAAGCGTTCTGTCAGCCTTTCAGCCAAAACAATGAAGACAATATTAAAGACACAGTTTCAAAGATGAGTATGACAATTTTTTCCCTAAGAGAGAAGAGCTCATTTGTGAGCTCATTTAGTCAAAATAAGACACATAATTTGTTTTATTTCTAGTAAAAATCTTTTGTGATCTTGAACCTAAAGAACAACTTCAGGCCTGAGGCCTAAATGAGCAACCTATTTTTCTTATGTTACTGGAAATAACTTCACTTTTCTGTTCAGTGTCACACTGCATGTAAGCAGGCCAGCATTTATCAGTTTCTCCATGACAGGCAGTGAATGAAAGCAGGTAGAAAGCTTCACCCATGAGGCAGGTGTCATCTATAACAAGACAATCTGGTCTCAGGCTATTTTTTTTTTCCTACGCTGTCTACACGTCACTTGGGAAAAACTCAACTTGTCTGCCTGCAAAGCTTCCTGTAACCCAGCTAAGACACTGCTAGCAGTATTTCTACCCTGATGTAATAAAAAATAAATAAATCTACAAAACTCTCAAGTGTGTGTAAAAGTATATTACACAGAACATAACATGACCTGAGCTGAGGGGAATAAATTCCCAATGGATTTACAAAACAAATTAGAAAGATTACAAGAAACCAATAGCAGCTTTTATTTTCTAAAGCACCAAGACATCCCATCAATAACTGTGTAATTCCATGAAATCACCATGGTAATCATTTTTCCTCCCAGGTATTAGAAGCATTAAAAACAAATGGAAGATATATTGAGGCAATGCATTCATGTTCACAGTAAAGTCAGCCTGATTTCCTGCTCTGTTGCTGGTATTTCTGCTCGTCTGCTTCTAAAGAAGTGACTCTTGACACACACAAACTCCACAAACCTTTTGAATGACAAGAACTGATGAGAGGGGAATTTTAAAGCAAAATTATTAACATACAATATTTGCAAACTCCTGCCTATGTTCTCAATGTAGATCAAGTTGAAAAAGCTTAGCTCTGCTCCATTGTTTTCTCCTTGCCTGCAGTGATTGAGTGTCCCCTAAGCTGAGCTAAACCACCGGTTACCCACCCCTCCGAAGGAAGAAGTAAAATAAATCTCTCCAGAAATAAAAACTAAGCCATGTCTGGCTGAAACAATGTGCATTGTTTTGATCCTGGCTCCAAGACTGTGCAGGCTCTGTCAGACAAAGGCATTAAAAAAAGAAAAGAATAATTTACTCAGTTGATGCTGTGTGCAACCCTGCAGTTTTTGTTGCAAAGAAAGCTTCATTTTTCTCTAAACATGACAGTTCACTTCATATTTGACACAAGCAGTTTCTTACCTTGCAGCTTGAAAGTTAACGACCAAGTCATCTAACAGGCGGTTGTTTTGTAAGTCCTGTTCTGTCATTTGCTAAAAGAGAGATGAAAAATACAGCATTAAAAACACTTATTGGAGATACAATTTTGACATTTCACTCATAGAAAATTAGAAAAAGTTAAAAGTTGCATTTATTTCTTTAATTTAAATCAGAAAAGTGAAAATCATTATATAGATTTATTCAATATGTCAGGTCCTTTTTTCTTTTCCATCATTTTGATGATTATTATGATCGCTGTGAAAGCTACATGCAAAACCTCAAACAATGAGGATTCAGGGTCTCTCCATCCCACCTTCCACATCTGAGACCTTGATTCCAAATGAAATGCAAATTTACTTTCATCTACTAGCTCCGGGAGCGCAGTCTCCACGTTGTGAATCTTATTCACATTTTTTTTTTTGAACAAGCTTTGCATCACAAGCTTCTCAAGGCTGCAGTTATTCCTCGTGCTTGTGCATTTTTTCCTACCACTTTTTTCCTCATTCAACTTTCCAATAATGTCTGCATGCAGCACTCTGAACAGTCCACTTCATTAGCATTCACATTTTGTGGCTTACCCTTCATTCAACAGGTCTCAAAGACTGTTGATTGAAAAAACCAGAAATCACCCACAAGATTAAGAGAAACAAATGGTTGAAATACATGACTGTTGAATAAATCTGTTATTGAGTTTCACTTCTTGAATGAAATAAATGAATTAAATGAAGTATTCAAATATATTTCAATTTATTGCAATGCACATAAATGACAAAATGTCTAATTCATCTCGATACTTACCGAGTTGCAAACTGGACAAAGCAGCTTGTAGGACAAAAATTTTCTGATGCACAAAGAGCAAACTGGAAAATGAGAAACAAACAGATTGTACTGATTCTAAAAGCAAATAGATACAGTTTTTGTTTCCATTTAGATTCATTCTTATTCTAAACTAACTTATACATGTACATAAAAAAAAGTCAAACTTTTTGCACTTTCCATTAATAAGTTAAATAATTAAAATAATTTACTGAGATTCAAGGTATTTTGATTTGAACACCTCCCTCCCCCAATTTCTTTTTTTTTTTTGTGCGTTTTCCTTCTTTTTTTGTATTAGAGCAACACAGAGACTCAAACATTTCAGCACAGAAGCTGAGGAAGGTTAAGGTGAAGTTGTTGCAGAAAGGACTTTCTGATTTGGACAATAAAGATCTGGTCACCTGACTGTTTTTCCCAGACAGCAACTGTCCTGTCCTGTCCTGTTGTGCTTTTCTAACTCTGGTTTTGTCTCTCCTTTGTCAGACAAGATGCTAGAAAATGGGAGCATCTCTATGACAGACAGTGGCGTGTCTCCCTTCAGCGTTTGGTGCTTTAAGCCTAATTATAGCGCCATGAGTCATTCAGATAAAAAGTGTGTCTCCCCCTCCCACCTTCAGCCTCTGTGGAGGTTTGTGCACTTGTTAAATTTGACGTGAAGCTAGAAAATTCTGAAGACACACTAAGCTTAACACTGACAAACTAAAAACAAGCCTGTATTTTCAGAAAAAATATTTGACTTTTGAAAGAAACAAATAGAAAATTAGGCTGAATTTACTCAAGGACTCTTAAAGTACTTTTGTTCAATGTAAAGCTTTTCATTAAGCACTTGAAAAAGTGTTTTTAAATATAACTTATACAGTACCCAAAACACTTAAGCATAACAGGGACAAATGTGTAAACAATCTAAAATTAAATGCATTGTGCACATGCGCAAAATGTCCGGATATACACAATAACATGCAGGTACTCCATAGCATCATGCCATCACTGTATTTTGTGGCAGGAGGAACTGCCAGAGCACTTCACAAAATAGATGACATCCTTGGAAAAGACAGTAATGAGTAAATATTCTATCAAAGTTCCATATTGTCAGGCAAGAAGTTAAAGCTTGAGAATAACTGACTGAACACTGACTATGAGCAAACAACCAAATTAGTGACAAACTGTTTCTATGATAACCATTTTGTAAATAATCTGTGCCCTCACGTTTTTCCATTGAACAAAGTCTGTGTGCCACCAAATCAAACTTGAGGACTCACAAACTTTTTTGTTCATACGCAACAGAGACAGCTGACTGTAAACATATTCGTGAGAACTGTCACAAACATCCCCTCAAGCATTCAAGTAACGGTATGAGCAGGAACTGCTGGGAGACAGAGCATAGAGGAATGACCAATGAGCCCTATCTTTGTTTGCACCAAAGAAAACTGAATGGTCTTCTGCTGTACAGCTCGCAAAAGGCAAGCTGTATAGCTTTACGTAACTTTTTTTCCCACTATGCAAATACAGTAAATAAAAGGTTGCTTCATATTCAAAATTATGACAATAAACTTAAAGATTGTTTATATTAGGGCTTTATCAACATTTTGGCTATGAATGCCAGTGTTTTGTGGGCAACACTAAAATGAAGACAAACCAGAAGTGACTGATTTGACTTATTGGAATTAAAAGTACAAAGTAAGTCTACTCCCTTCCAATGTACTTATCTATGCCAGTGCTCCAAAAAAGGCCCAAGAATCCAATTAAAATGCTATTAAGAATGTTTCAAGTTGCACGAATATTGACATTTTTCAGGTTCGGCGCAAGACTTACAATTGTGGGAGCACTTAGTCATCATTGTGATGTTGAGAAAATCATAGCAAATTGGACAACGTAGCAGGTTATCAACAGTCTGTGGACAAAAACATCAAAGTTGTGAATTAATTACTAAAACATTGTGCAATACAAAGGATTAATAGAGTTAATAAGGTTATGGATTTTCCAGGCACATAGAGTCGTTGCATAACACAATCAAGTACATTACTTCCAGTTGTTATATCCTACATAAACCAAACATAAGTTAGAAGAAATTAGATTTCACAATTTGATGTTTTAAAATTGGCTTCAGTTTGCTTATGAAGCTCAGACTCTTTCTGACATCATCACAACAACATTTCTCCATTATGCTGTTCATAACTGTTCTGAAGAGGGTTGGACTGAGAAATACTTAGTTTTAAACATAAGCAGATGTGAAGTTCCACCAGGTGTTTGCCAATTGCTGCTGCATATAAATGACCGTGCCTATAATAAATGCCTTTGAAGAGTCAAACCAGCTTCAAGCTCTGTCAGGGAAAAATTTATTTGCTGATGTGTTTAAAGACTGAAAAAAGTGGAAGATTTTAGTTTCAATAAACTTAATGAACAAAAATAAAATATCCAGACTGTGTGGGGCCCTTTCTGTCACTACCAGATGGATTGATAAATCTTTTTGTAAATGTTTATAAGGAATTACTTAACTTGATGGCTGATTTGATGTATAATAAATCACAAATATTTACTTAAAAATTTAAACTGTTTCAGTTCACACAAACATAGTTGTATGAAATCAAAACAGCCTCCTTTGGCATAACTTGAAGTCAGTAATAGATATTTTAATATAGAACAGAATTCAGTCAAATAATTAGATTAAAAATCATAACAGCCTTATTTATATTGTGTAAAATTATAAGAGAATTATAAGAGAAACTGAAAATGATATGAAATTGTGTTACTTTGAAAGCATACTTGCACAAAAAAAAAGAAAAAAGCATTTAAGAGTTACACATTGCCAGGTGGCTGAAATCCTTAAGACATCCTTTTTAACCCCATCAGGCCATTAAGTGCACCACATTAAAAAAAATCTAATTTTTGTCAATTAGCAATTTACTTACAGTTCCACAACTGAATAATGCATTTTTGTCCTTAGACTTACAATCAGCAAGCTGAGTTTTGGCTCATATAACAATATTTAAAATTGTTAAATTTAACATTGACTTGTTTGAGAGTAAAATATAAAATTTCTGCATTACTTGACATCAGAATTTCACAAAAAAAAAAAAAAAAAACATCAAAACTTCTTTAAAAATGTTATTGGGCTCCTTTATGGGTTTTTTTTTTTCTGTAATTCCAGTGTTTTAAAATGGTTGGGATTTGCCATAAAGAAAAATCACATTTTTAAATCATGGTCTGAATAGAACTGAACTATATGGGAATTGTTCTGAATCTTATTATGAGGCCGTATTGGAGTGAATCGAGTTGATCTGAATTCAATTAGATTGAGGAATTTGTTTGTTTCATCGACGTTGGTTGTGAAATAACCTTAATTGAAAAACATCGATTGTTAGCATTCTCTTGATAACTGTTCAGTCATGTCAGCGTTAGGTTTTATGCTGTTTCCAACATGAGCGTTTATAGCCGTTAGACTTAAAGTAAACACATGAACCGTGATTCATGTCAAAATTTATGCGTTGTCGTTATGAATCTAGGCTAACAAAATATTAATTATTACTGATTGGTCACTTACAGAACCAAACATCTGAGCGGAAATGTTTTTGTTATCGCTTTTAGTTTTGTTTTTTCTTCCTCGAATTGCTTGATAAACTTAACGTTCCCGAGAGTGTACACAGCTAATGGGGCTAGTTTTGAAATCAAAACACGAATATTTCAGCACAGACAACGCCATGACTCACTTTTAAACACGCAAGGCTGAGCGGTAAATCCTCCTCAATGTTCTGGGCCATGTCTCTGGGAGAAATTGTATAACTCTTGGGAAAGATTTACGTAAGTTAGCTCCTCTACTTGTGCCTCTCATTCGACTAGCTCCCGCCCTGAGAGCAACTGACGTCAATAAATAACTTCCGGTACTGGTGCTGCATTCACGCCCAGTGGGGAATCTGGCCGTGAATGAAGAACCATTTTACTTTTCTTTTTACCCATTTTAGCTTGATAATATCCTTTTCTTTTCTTTTTTGTGAGGGATTGTTATATGTGCCATTCATCATTAGGCTCTAACAGCAAAACTTTATTGGTTCAGTTGGGGGAAAAAACAGAAAGGATGTAATTTCTAAGCCCACTCTGAATGTCAGAGGATGGAAATTTTATATTCCATAGCCACTAACTTTGATTGTTAGCCATGTTGTGACAGCATTTGTACTTTCATTTGATTTGTCAAAGAGACAGCTGAACCAGGATGGCATTAAAGTGAAATGAAAGTATAAAGCATGTGATGAAACAAGTTCCAAGCTGACCATCAAAAACATATTCTACACTTGCATGCCGTTAGGAGTTGTCTCAAGTTCCCCTTTCTGGACCTGGAAAAGTCATTAAATCAGTTTCCCTCTTAACTTGGAAAATGCTCTAACAATTTTAAATAAATCAACTTTTTGCAAATATAAAAAACTAGAGTTGAGTTGGATCTTAGTTTTTTGATGGATTTCTATGTGTCTTATTGAAATGAGACATCCTGGTAGTTCTCAACAGAGTGTGAATCAGCCAGGGTAGAAAACCTCCCCACTTCAGCCATGGTTTATGACTGAGCTTCTGACTAAAGTGGGAGACTTCCAAGCATTTTGGGGTCTCATTCACAAATGGGGTTAAACAATATTAGAAATCTAAATGATCTATACAGACATTTTTGATTGTTTTTCACTATGCAAAGTTTGTGTACTGCTCCGAAACCCCTCCTCCAACCAGTGCCAGAACAAAGTCCTCTGCTACTATTAAGGAGCAGCTGGGAGACCAGTATTTGCCTGATGGTCACTCTTACAGGTGAGGCCAAGCCAAGAGACTTTCTTAAGTATTTTTTTATTCAGTGAAGTATATGTTTATTTTTGCTAAACTGATGGTTGCTCACTGAGTTAAAGTCCTTGCTTTAATCAGTCATCTCTGATTCCATTCGTCAAGATCTTCTGAGAAAGTCAACCTCACTGCTCTATTATCTAAAAACAGCTACCTGCCTGCTTGTTCTCCAATGCCTTCTCTTAAGTCATTTTCATCTCACACCTTGCTTAAACAGTAATTGTCAGGATCCTCCACCCTCCTCTTCTCCAGAGACCTTTCCTAGAAACTAAACTCTCTGACTTCATTAGTTAAAACCTTCATCCATTCATCTGCTTCCTGAATCTAGTCTGTCCTCTCCAGATGTCACAGAAGCATGGATCCAGAAGCTCCTCTTAATATCTAACAATCTCTAAATAAACTTCCCAACTTAATTATTCTGGGTCCTGAGTGTAGTTCTCCATTTGTATCAAAACATTCAGCATCATGACATCAGGGTTGGGCCACGCTTACAACTCATTAGCTACTGATGTTTCAGTCTGAAATATATATATTTTTTCTTCATTCACATGCAGCACTGAAAGACATTCAATTATTTCTATAAAAATAATGAGACTTTTAAGATAAGCTCAAGTGAACTTTGCAGAACGTCCAAATTAAGTTTATTGCTTTGTAAGTACTGAGCCATCAGATAAAACGCTGACCTTGACTGTAAAATCCCTGCATTGGTTCTTTGATTTTACCAATTAGCTGTGAGGGGAAATAAAGAGCCGATCTGGTCCAACTGCTCACTGACACTTTTTAGCTTGTGTTGCCCTCACTGACTCCACTTTCATTGATCATGTATCCTTAACAAGGCACTTGGACTTTCTCTGTTTGATTTATAGAGTCAGTTGTTTTCAATGCATGAGTTGGATTTAAAGTGGATTTTTAATTCTCAGTGTCCTTCACGAGTACCATTTAAATGACTGAGAAACTATGAATAACCAGTAAAATCTTGTCATCATTGTTGTTCAATCGGACTTTAGTTCAATGCTTCCATACTTCTGTTTGTGAGGTGACCACATTTTTGATGGTGAATACATTTACCAGAAGGTACATTTATAAAACATAGAAAATGACCAAAAGTAAAGTGTTTTGAATTAGCATTTGGTTTTGCAGTTACAATTATCTGTAAAAACATAATAAAAATATTCTGTTTCTCATTAATACTAATATGAAGCAGTTATTAAAATACTCGTAAAACGCCCAACGTTCTCTAAAAATACCTGAGAATTTTAGGCATCGTGTTAAATGAAATAATTCTAATAAGAAACTAAATACACAAAAACACCACAAGCATTAGGATGTATACCTCTTCATGTGTCAGTCACTTTTCATGAAGGAAAGCACTCTCACTTCTTCATAGTAAGACCTACACAATCTTTGCCACACTGTCAGCACTGAGGAATATGCCTGCAGCAACACTGAACCAATTATTTAGCCTTCAGGGAAAAAACACTGAATCATTCACTGGTACAGTTGCTTGGCATTTATCAGAGGAACTGGGACTGAAAGTGGTGAATGGATACAAAGAAGTGCTGTCTTTTACTAAATACACATCATTATTATTATTATTATTATTATTATTATTATTATTATTATTATTATTATTATTATTATTATTATTATAGTTAATGCTATACATTATTTTTCTTTATGTAGAATTACAGTCTGACAGAAATGTAAGAAACTGATATTCTTCCAGCATTAGTCTACTTTCAGAGCAGCTTCATCATTTCTAATGACCTTAGACTGTGTGGAAATTTTGCCATTTAAGTTTTTCTTTCCTTTATGTGATTATCTTCCATTTTCTTTTATGAGATGCTTTGTTTCTAATGCAGATAACATGTTTTACATCTATTTGATCCGTCTTTGTGTGTGAGGGGAGTCTAGAGAGGCTGTTTTGTCTGTCCAGTGTTTTTTTATATATTTTTTTTTCATTAAATAGCTTTCAGTTACCCTGCATGTGAATGGAGTAATCCAGCCGAACTTCCCTTTCCTGACTTTCAAGTAAATCTGAAATGTATAGCTATGACCATGGAAATGTCAGTTGTATTCTGGCAAAGCACTTTATGGAGGAGACAAAGACTCTTCTAATTTTAACCATAATTCTATTTTAAATGTATTCGTCCAAGTTTCTTCCAAGCTTTTGTGATGAGACAAAGGTTTGCAGAAGTCAAATTAAAGCTTTAAAAATGCCGTATTCAGTCACATCACATGAACTCAGCAATAAGCTGCTTTGCTTCAGCATTTCAGCTGGAGTCTGATCAACCTCTGTCTATTTTCATCAGCCTGTAGAGACACTGATGGGTTTGGACAATAGGAGTGTTTATCCATTGGTTACTCAGCCAAGCAGACATATATTAGCGAGATGACATAATGCATTGAATTCCTGTGTGATTAGACTCCAGGTTTCAGATTTACTGGTATTGTGTTACAGATTAAACCCATTTCCAAGTAATCTTTGATAAATTTGGTCAGTCCAGAGTTTCTAAACAGTTTTTGTAGCGTTGAACTTACAAGTTCAAAATACCTCATTCAATGTCTTTTGGTATTTTGATCATTTTATTATTATATATTTTTTTGTTTGTTTTCAAGTTTCGGTTTCTTCAATTGAAAAATAAGATTATAATCATCCAGATCAGTGACTGTGTGGTTGGATAATGCACTTTCCAAAGAAACTGTAGAGTGGAATCCTTTTGGTCTATGTGGAGGTCTATCCTTAAAAAGGGAAACTGGCATAGTGCTTAATCTGACTGGTATATAACTTTTATGCTTACTTTTTCTTTTAATTAACTAAAAATGTGACTGCTTGAAGCATTTTTGTTTAAATCGTGGCATTCATGTAAATTAGAAAAATTGTAAAAAATAATCCAGTGGCTGTTTAAATGTTTGTACAAAAAAATCCAAACATAAACAACATAGATTTTAAGTTTTTATTTGTATTTTATTGATTCACCATTTACTTTTTTATTCTTGACTCTCCTTTTTAATAATAATAATAATAATAATAATAATAATAATAATAATAATAATAATAATAATAATAATAATAATAATAATAATAATAATAACATATGACACAAAATTGTAAGAATTGTAATGAATAATCTATGATTCTAAATCGTTTTTCATTTTTAGAATAATTTAATTTTTCATTGTTGACAAAAAAGTATCCATAATTTCAGATGATTTACATTAGAGTTCTGTGAACTTAAGTTTAAAAAGGTTGTCTTTAACCCTTTCATGCATGAATTATGATCCTTTGTGTCAGGATTTTTTTCCAAATTTGTTTTTGATTTTCTTAAGGCATAAAATGCCTTGTAGCTGAAATGTGCTATACAAATAAAATTTTATTGATTGATTGAAAAAAAGGTAGGAAAATATATATATACATATATATATTTTAGGTGATCAATTGTAATTTTCTCCAAATACAAAGTTATTAGAAAAATACATCAGTAGTATAGTGCTTTAGGGGTATCTGGTGTCACAATGTTTACTTTTTTTTACCTGCAAGATTCGTCCAATTTAACAAAAATACAGCTGATAGCCAGTTGTTGATAATGTATTTTAATGATGCATGAGTGTCCACTTCAGTGGTCTGTGAGCATTTATAACATAAAAATCCAGAAGAAACACAAGAAAATGGCTTTTCGATAGCTACCCACTGTAGTGACCACTATGCATGAAAGGGCTAGTGCACAAAGCACGGTGTGTGTGTGTGTGTGTGTGTGTGTGTGTGTGTGTGTGTGTGTGTGTGTGTGTGTGTGTGTGTGTGTGTGTGGGTGTGGGTGTGTGTGGTGTGTGTGTGGTGTGTGTGTGTGTGTGTGTGTGTGTGTGTGTGTGTGTGTGTGTGTGTGTGTGTGTGTTCAATAGTTTTGCACCTGATTCACAAAAGTTTCTAAGTGTATACAATATGTGCTTACATTTTTGTTTTTGTCTGATGTGATATATGTTCACAGATCACATTTTGGTCCAACTCTATCGTTAGCACACAGAAAACAAAACTCT